AGGTGTTAACCCTAATTAGTTCTATTTCAGGATATAGTAATTTCCCCAAAAATGAGGACCCCAATATAGATCCCCGAATACTACAATCCTTATTACGGGGACCTCCAAAAAACTACCCCTAATTTTGAGAAACCACATTTTCGAGAATCTCCCACTCGAAAAAGCAGTCCTGGGATGCTTTGCAACACTGCTGCGGAACGCCGCAGATCGGCTAAGCCGAGTCTGCAAACATGAACGTAAGTTGACTACAACTGCTATAGTGGAGGTGTAGTAAAAGGGTGGGGCAGCAACAAAGAAATGCCCATACTGCAAGCTACATAATGCTTCCATTCGGTAATGGAGGAAGGGATCCTTTGAGTATGGGCCCTCTACAGAATTCCCGGCAAGCGTTTTTGTTGGTGTTTTTCCGTCCCTTCCTTCGCTACCCGCGGAAGAAGCGGCCTGCCAGCAGTGCCCAGGTGTCGCACGGCATAGAAGCTTGCAGTCACGTCGGACTAACATGTCTGATCACTGCTAGTATTATGAAGCCACATGCTAACATCATGAACCATTTGACAGTGATGCCTATGTATCCTCAAACCATTAAGCCCTTATCTGTGTAGGTCTTTGGGCAAGGCAGGCAGGAGTCTGCCGAAAGTACGGCTTGCCAATGGGGGCAGCGTATGCAGGAACCGTTATTAATTCTCTCAGTAGGTTCGGCGGGAAGCAGTCCAGTGATGCTTCGCAACAACGCTGCAGAAATCCGCAAATCGGCTTCGCCGAGTCTGCTCAGCAAAGACCTTAACATTTGGGAGTCTGCGTGTATCGAAGGAGGGGTCTAGGTAGGATAACTAGAGCAGTCATAACCCCACACATTTTACACCACGAGCCTCCAACAAAAAGCCTACCAACTGCACGTTGGCTGGTTCTACGAGAAAGCGCCGGTCTGGAAAATCAAGCTCCAGCTTGCTTCAGTCCGACTAAGGGCATCAAGTCAATCCCTCAGTTTAGGGTTTAAGGCTTAAGGCTTCGGGTTTAAGGTTTAGGGTTTTGGGTTTACGAGGTTTCCCAAAATCATCGTGTTTCGGGAGTCCCAATGAGGATGACAGTATCTTGGAAGTTTTCAGGAGGGGTCTGGTTGCCCTTTTCTTTTCCAGTGTCCCTATATGGTAGTTTCCCAAAATAGGGAAAACCCAATATAGACCCCCAAAAACTATAGTCCCAAATATGGGAACCCCCAGAAGAGTACCCCTATTTTTGGGAAACCCCCAGATAAGCCTATTTCACCCTCTATTACCTGTATAATCCCTATATAACCTATGTAACCCTATAACCTCCCTTGATGCTTAGCAGCCCTTGGGACACCAAAGCTCTTCGGAGGGTTCCGGCTCACTGCAGCCGCATGTTTGGGGGCAGAACATGGAGGCAGGCCGCCGCTGGGCCTAGGATCATAGTGAGGCTATAGGTAAGTACAGATCTCTTTTGGAGGGTTTTTGGGGGCTATATAAAGGTTTTACATAGGGGGTATATGGGCATGTTTATATGTACGTATATGGCATACCTTGATGAAGGAGTCGGATGTTGTGTGTTATGAAACGGGGCCGCTGCTTTCGGAAATGCCCATACGATTGAAAGCCTGAAGCGGGACTAGTCTGGAATTTCATTTTAGTGAACTGCTGTTCTGAAAGAGGTTGGGCGAGGTCAGTATGATTTTCTCACGGCGTCTTCCCAACAACGGCACCTCATACACGCGCGCAAAGAAGCATGACACACATACCTCGCTCGTCACAGGGAAGATCGGAGGATCTACAAAGAATGTTCGCACAGGCGATTGTATATCTGGTTCCTCATTGGGATACTTACAACTTTTATTTTGGGCTCCTTACGGGGCTCTCAGAAGCTGAAAGTTTTCTTCAACTTTGATCCGTGGTCTAGGGGGCGCTTAAAGGCTGCAGAGAGCCTCTGGGGCCTTATTTGCAAAAGATAGGTTTCTCAACCAGACCCTAAACCCCCAACCCTGAACCCTAAACGGTTTAGGGTATGTAAAACCTACAGCATTCCTTTGGTGACTCTGAGAACAAACCGTGTGGCCTAAAAAGAGAAACGGTATTCTCTCTCTCAAGAAGTCTCCAACCTAGGGCCACACAAAAAAAAAGAAACTAAGCGACTGAGGGTAACCGGCCGGACAACTAACAAAAGCGTTTCAAAAGTTGCTGTTTTGAGGGTAAGGTTCGTGCCTGCATGCTGTGCGTGCGATCCAGTCCATGGAGCCTACAAAGGAACCTTGGCATTGGTCTAGGTAGAGTCTAAATATCCCAATTTCGGCTATAACTCTAACTGTTCTACTCATAACCCTAAATCCTAAAACCCCTAACTCAGAGACTTTAAGTTTGTACCCTTGATGTTTGTAATCCTAGGTTCTGGGCCCCCAATAGGACTATATTCCAAGGTTTAGGGACCCAAGCCCAAGGGTACAAACCCTAAGAGTACAAAGGAAAATTCCCTGATAAACCCTAAAGTTACACTCTTTCTTTAAGCTCCCCATAGATTTCCACCCACGGCTCTGGGCTTAGGGGCCCCAATCCGCAAAACAGGAAGGATCGGCCCGGAAGCCTATCACTCCTCTACGTCTTATAGAGGATATCTTACATAGGAATCATATAAAGATAATGTAGGGACTGTATTCCCTACTGAGCACCAGTAAGCTCCAATACCAAGGTGAATTTTGCATAATGGCGAGAATGCTTCTGTCGTCCGTGGCACATCACGCGTATTTGATGAGCTTGTGTGTGTGTGTGTGTGTGCGTGTGTGCGTGTGTGTGTGTGTGCGTGTGTGTGTGTGTGCGCGCGCGTGTGTGTGTGTGTTTCTCTCTCTACATATATATATATATGTCTTTTATTCCCCACCCTCACAGTGGGGTTGTTAGATCTTAAAGTGAATGTTGTCCTCGCCCGTTGCCTGGAGTATTCATGCAG